ACTCTGTAGACCAGGCTGGCCTTGAGCTCACAGATCCACTTGCTTCTGCCTTCCAAGTGCTGGGATTAAAGGCATGGGACACCACCCCTGGCTCATATGTCTTTCTTATAAAAGAATTAAAAAATCATATGGGGACACTTTTTTAGGAGGAGGGATTTTATAACTTGAATTTTTTTCTCTTTTTTTTCTTCTATTTAAAACTACATTAAAGCATTAAAGCTGGGTGTAGTAGCACAGGTCTTTAATCCTAGCACCAGAGGCCGAGAGGTGTGAGGCAGAGAATCCACATTCATCCAAGCATGGTGAGGGACAGAGGCAGGCAGATCTTTGAGTTTCTAACCTACACAGTAAATTACAGGACAGTCAGAGCTATATAGTGAGACCCTGTCTCAAAAGAAAAAACAAGCTGGGTGGTGGTGATGCACACCTTTAGTCCCAGCACTCAGGAGGCCTGCCAATTCCAAGATTCCATTGTTTTCACCCCTGCTGAGTAGTACTCCATTGTGTAAATGTACCACATTTTCTTCATCCATTCTTCAGTTGAGGGGCATTTAGGTTGCTTCCAGGTTCTGACTATTACAAATAATTCTGCTATGAACATAGTTGAACAGGTATCTTTGTTGCAGGGTGTGCATCTTTTGGATATATGCCTAAGAGTGGAATTAGTGGATTGTGAGGTAGACTGACTCCCATTTTGCTGAGGAACAGCCACACTGATTTCCAAAGTAGCTGTGTGAGTTTGCACTCCCACCTGCAGTGAAGGAGTGTAGGCCTTTCTCCACATCCTCTCCAACAGAAACTGTCTTTGGTGCTTTTGATTTTAGACATTTTGACAGGAATAAGATGATATCTCAGAGCTGTTTTGCTTTCCAGTACCATTTGTTGAATATACTTTCTTTTTTCCATTGTATAATTTTAGCTGCTTTGTCAAAAATTATGTGTTCATAAGTGTGGGTTAATATTAGGGTTTTCGATTGGATTCCATTGGACTACCTGTCTATTTTTGTGCCAATACCAAGCTGTTTTCAGGACCATAGCTCTATAGTAGAGCTTGAAGTCAGGGAAGGTGATGCCTCCGGAAGTTCCTTAATTGTACAGTGTTGTTTTTGGCTATCCTGGGTCTTTTGTTTTTCCCTGTCATGTTGAATATTGTCCTTTCAAGGTCTGTGGGATTTTAATGGGGATTGCACTGAATCTGTAGATTGCTCTTGTTAAGATTGCCATTTTTACTATGTTGATCCTATCTCTCCTAGAGCATGGGAGATCTTTCCACTTTCTGGTATATTCTTTAATTTCTTTCTTGAAAGACTCAAAGTTTTTGCTATACAGGTCGTTTACTTGTTTGGTTAGCATTACCCCCATTGTTTGTGGCTACTGTAAAGGGTGATGTTTCTCTGATTTCTTCCTCAGCCCATTTGTCATCTGTATATAGTAGGACTACTGATTTTTTTTTTTTTTTTTTGAGTTAATCTTGTATCCTGCCACTTCGCTGAAGGTGTTTATCAGCTGTAGAAGTTCCCTGGTAGAATTTTTCGGGTCACTCATGTAAATTACCATATAATCTGAAAATAGTAAAAGTTTGACCTCTTCCTTTCCAATTTGTATCCCCTCAATCTCCTTTTGTTGTCTTATTGCTCTAACTAGAACTTTAACTGCAGTATTGAAGAGACATGGAGAAAGTGGACAACCTTGTTTTGTTCCTGATTTTAGAGGAATTGCACTGAGTTTCTCTCAATTTAGTTTGATGTTGGCTGTTGGTTTGCTGTATTTGCTTTCATTATGTATAGGTATGTTCCTCTTATCCCTGATCTTTCCAAGACCTTTATCATGAAGGGGTGTTGGATTTCATCAAAGGCTTTTTCAGCATCTAGTGAGATGATCACATGGTTTTTTTTTTTATGGTCTATTATTATGGTGGGACATGGTGGCACACAGGCAGACATGGTGCTGGAGGGGCTGAGAATTCTACATCATTGATCTGGAGGCAACAGGAAGTAAACTGAGATACTGGGCATGGCTTGGGCATATATAAGTCCTCAAAGTCCACCTGCACAGTGACACATTTCATCCAACAAGGTCACACCTACTCCAACAAAGCCACACCTCCTAATAGTGCTACTCCCTATGAGCTCATGGGAGCCAATTATATTCAAACCACCACAGATACTATTTCCTATGTTTAAAGACATTTACACTTTTATTTTAATTTTTTGAAATTTGTTTTCATTTTATGTGTTCGGGCGATTTGCCTTCATATATGTTTTTGTATGAAGTATGTACAGTGTCTACAGAAGCTAGAAAAAGGTGTCATTTCCCCTGGAACTGGAGTGACAGACAATTGTGAGCTACTATGTGAGTGCTAGGACTAGAACTCAAGTCCTCTGGAAGTATTCTTAACCCTAAGTCATCTCTCAGTCAACATCTGCATCTTTAAAAATTATATTGGTACTTTGTGCATTTTCATTTTGGAGAGAAAATAAAAATGAAGTGATTAACAAACTTGTGCAAGAAAATACGAGTAATTAATCCAAAGCTGGCCAGATGTGCAGTTGAGGGGCAACGGTTCCAGCACTCAGGTGGCCGGGACTGGCAGATCAAGAGTTGGAGGTCAACCTGGGACTATATAGCAAGGCTCTATCTAGCTCTCAAATCCAAAATTGAAAAAGAAAGGGGGAAAAATGAGCCTAGGGAACAATCAAATTTCTGCTACACAGCCTTTCTGCGGAGAAGCCCTTATTTTGGCCTGGTTTTTAAAAAATGGTTTGGGTGGAACTCACTGCCAAATCTCACCACCTGAGTTTGATCCTGAGGTCACAAGGCAGAAGGAAAACAGACTCTTGTGGGTTGTCAGCTTCTCCTCCAGAAGATTAGATAGATAGATAGATAGACAAACTGACAGACAGAGAGGAGATAGATAGAGCTAATAAGTTTAAAACAACAACAACAAAAATAAATAAATAAATAAATAAAGAAAGAAAGAAAGAAAGAAAGAAAGAAAAAAGAAAAAAGAATGGCTCTGGACTCTTTTCCCTTTGCTGCTTAGTGTGACATTTTGCCAGTAGAGGGCAGAGGTGAGACACGTCAGGAGTAGATGGGGCTGGTTGCCTGCTTCTGCTCAATTTCTGAAAGTCACCAGGCTTCCACAGCTGAGACAGGTGACTGGGACTCGCCTCTCCCTGGGCACTGGGTAGGTGGTGAACACTGGCAAAACACTGCTGAAAACCCACTGGGCCTGATGTGGTGATGCCTACCTGTAATGGTAGCACCCAAGAGGCTGAGCAGGAAGATTACAAGTTACATAGCAAGGGACAGACAGACCCAGCTACACAGATCCCATTGGGCTGGTGATGTAGTTCACTGGAGTTCTAGTAACCCACCCACCACCAAATCTCTCACAGTCATTGGTAGTGTTCATGACAGCTCCTTAAGATCTCACTGTACACATTCCTCAAATTCGCATTTGTCTGCTTGTTTGTTTTGAGGCGAGTCTTCCTCTGTAGCTTAGGCTTGCTTGTAATTTATCATGTAGCCAGTGCTGGCCTTAAATCTGTAATGATCCTCCTGTCTCTGTTTCTTAGGTTCTAGGATTGCAGGCATGAGCCACCACCATGCCTGACTTTTGTTTGCTTGTTTTTGATCAGGTCTGGCTTGAAGCTTGGTATGTGGACAGCCAGGATATGAACTTGCAGTGATTCTCCTGCTTCAGATCCTGGACTAACAGCTGTTAACAATGGCCAGTGTTGATCACTAAGAACTCCCCAAACATGGGCCTAAATGGAAGCTGTGATGCCAGTCACAGCTGAGTTTCCTGGACTCACAAGAGCTGTAGTGTCTGTAGGGTTAAGGTTCTGGATCCTGAGGTCTGCCTAGAAACTGCAGCTGTACAGGGCATCATTTGCTGCTATGCCCTCCTGCTCAACTACTACAAAGCACTGGGGGAACAACAGCTGCCTGAGCTTGGAATCCAAAGAACTTCCTAAGCTTTCTGTCTGTAGAGCACAAGGACCACAGCTGACTGATACCTGTACATCAGCCACAGAAGCCAGCAGCTCCTGGCCACCCGATCCCTGGGCATGTTTGTAAAATGCTTCTTCTGAGATCCTCCTTGTGAAGAGCTCTCTTTGGTACCCTGAAGGTCATTATCAAGTTCTACAGAGTCTATACTTCCAGAAAGTTCCATGGGTGGAGTCCCATAAGGTATGCAGTTTCTCCAAGGTCTGGATCGCAAATTTAGGTGGAAGGTGTAGCAGCTGTTCTTTATGCATGTCTTTCCTCTTCTTTGTTACATCTACCTATTTGTTTATTGTGTGTGTGTGTGTGTGTGTGTGTAGGTCAGAGGACAACTTTAAAGAGTCAGTTCTCTCTTACCATGTGGGTCCTGGGGATGGAGCAGCGTACACGGTCAGTCTCAGTAGTAAGCACCTCCATCTGCTGAACCATCGCCTTAGTCCTTTTACAAGTTCCTCCTGCCTCAGCCTCCCTAGTATTGGGATCACAGGTAGCGATCACCCCCAGATTCTATTACATTCTTCAGGAAAAAATTCTTTAAAAACTTTGAATAGCAGCAGGGCGGTGGTGGCGCACGCCTTTAATCCCAGCACTCTGGAGGCAGAGGCAGGCAGATCTCTGTGAGTTCAAGGCCGGTTTGGTCTACTGAGCGAGCTCCAGGACAGCCTCCAAAGTTACAGAAAAACCCCACCCCACAAACAATATACAAATACATAAAATACCTATAAAAATATATATGTATATTCCGTCGCTAGTAGGAGTAGATCCTTTGTTCTCTCCAGCAGAGTACCTATAGAGTACCGAAGCTTGGAGCTTCTCCCGACAGAGGGTCAGAAGCCCAGGTCGGAGGGCACAGAGCTCTACACCAAGAGGAACCCTAGTGACCTCACCCAGTACTACAGGAGCCGTGGCCGACTGCGCAGGCGCACGGAATCCTTGGGCGCGGTGGGCGGCGGCAAGAGGCGATTGGCTGGATTCCAAGGCCCCGCCCCTCATCTACGTCAGCTAGCCCGGTCGGCGGGTCAGTCCGCAGGTTCGGTTCGTTCCGGCGCCGTTGGATCCAGCGTGCTGCCCGGAGTTCGTCCCGCTCTTAGGTCGCTGGGCTGGGGACGGAGGCCCGTAGTTTGTAAGTACGAGGCCGCGGGGACGGGGGCGGAGGCGGGGTGAGCGCAACTGCGGCAGCGGTGTCTCCCGTCCGGCCCGAAGCCGGGTCTGCCTTCACAGCGGCGGGGAACTGGCCAGGACAGGCGAGGGCTTGAAGGGGACCCGAGTCTCGGCCCGTAGTGTTCAGCCAGCAGCAAGGCTAAGCTGGGTGAGCTGAGGCCAGGGCTGCGCCACGGTGGGGTCGGTTTTGGCGCGCTCTGGCGTCCGCGCTTCCTATTGGCTGGCTCACGCCGCGCTGGGCGGGGCTGGCGCGCTGGCGAAGGTGTGCGATCCCTTGGTCTTAGGGACGCCGTGACTGGGGCCTGAGCTGGGTACTACCTCCAGCCAGTTCCCAGGCAGCTCTGCAAATGCTGCTCCTGGGAAAAGGGCATTGAATCCTCCGTCTCCTATTCCAGTGGTGCCGGTGTAGGTGATAGATAGTGGGTTCTCCTCGGACTTGCTCTATGCTCCCAGCTAATGAATGGTAACAGGATCTTGGGCCATTACCTGCATTTTGGGAAACATTACCTAAGCTTGGGCGTGGTTGTGCTCAATCTCCAGCATTCAGGATGCTGAGTCAGCCGGAGAGAGGTTCAAGAGTTCTAGGTCAGCTTTGCCTACTTAGCCGACTCAACAGAAAAGAACACATCTAGAGTCCCTCGAGTGGGTTTCCAATAAGGCTTTATTAACATGAAATAGAGTGGAAAATAGCACTATTCTACACAGGGTTATAAGCTGTTTATATTTGCATACATGTGTGGGTGCTAGGACACAATGCAAATTAGTAATTACATGTAAGTAAGAGGGAGTCGGTCTTAAGTTTGCTATGTAGCTGAGAATATCTTTGAATTCGGTTTCTCCTTCCCAACCGCTTGTGCCACTAGGCATGGTGTATGCTGCACTAGAAATGGAGCCCAGCCTTTGAGCCTACTAGTTATGCACGCTACCCGCTACCCACTGAGCTACATACCCAGCCAAATGTTTTTTGTTTTTTGTTTTTTTTTGAGACAGGATCCTGGCTATGTAGCCTAGGCTGATCTCCAATTTGATATGTTCCTATCTCTGCCACCGCATTCCAGGATTGCAGTCATGTGCCACCATGACAGGCAGGATGGTATTCTTTAGGGTAGAGCTGAGTGTGCTTAAGAGCCTGTTTTGCATTTCCTGGCACCCTTTTGAGATCGTTGTATTTTGTACAAGGCACCATGCCATCTTAATGGTTCTATCACAAAGTAGTAATATTTTTGTAGTGTAAATAATTAAAAAAAAATCTAGCCTCTTATCTTCAGATACAGACCATACTGTTTTTAAATTGTTTGTATGTGTGTGTGTTGCCAGCTGAGAAATGAATTCCAGTATGAAGCAGAAACAGGAAGGAGCTGGAGAGAGTGTAAAGGTATGTAATGGGACCTCTTAAATGTTCTTGGATTTGTTTGTTTTAATTACCAGTGAGGTCTTAAAACCTCCAGAGTAAATTGGGAGCATGGGGGAAAGGGTGGAAGGAGAGAGGGGAGTGGAGAATATGTATAGTTTAATAATAATAATAATGATAAATTTAAACAATAGAATCTTATTCTTGGTATGTGAAATCATAAAGTTTGACTTAAGACAACTTAAAAAAAAAAAGTGAGGTCTTGCTGTGTTGCCCAGGCTGGTCCCAAACTGAAACCATTTATTTCCTCAGCCCCCCCCCCCAGGGTTAATTTAAATTTAGCATTCATTATCAGAAGTTGGAAAACTGAGTGTACTCTTGCATATAATTTGGAGGAGAGGGTTTGCAGAATATGAAATTGTTTTCTGAAAAGGTTAAGATTTAAATATATGAGTGAAGCTTGGAGTCTAGAAGTCTGTTATTCTGTATATGAGTATATAGAAAAGAATGTTATGTAGTATACATTCCTTGGGTTATTTTTTTTCTAAAACTTACATGTATAAAGTGTAAATCTTGGAAGTGGTCTTTATAAGTGTGCATACGACAGCAACTTAGTTGGCTTCTTTGACCATTATGAAGATCAAACATTTAGTTTTATTTTCTTCTATTTAGAGACTTGATTAATCTGTAATCTAAATTATATCTGAAATGTTGGTGTAATATTTGTTCTCATGGTAGTTGGCAATTGTCCCTCAGTTAAATAGTGAGATAATAATCAACAGTAGAAACCTTACCGTGGGAAAGGTGAACTTTGTCGTGTGAAGTACAGTAACTTTCTCACGCTGGTGTGGTGTCATGTTCTTGCTAACCTTGTTTGAGTATTCACCCATTGTTTGCTATCCCATGGTGGCAGTATAACTAATGATTCTTTTTTTTTTTTTTAATAGAACTTACAAATCAGGAAACATATGGGGGCTATCTACATTTTTGTTTATAAGACAATAGTTTGGGGATTTTAGAGGGTTATTTGGTGGGAGGGATTGTTTTGAGACAAGGTCTCACTGTGTAGCTTTGGCTAGCTTGAAACTCAGAAATCCACCTGCCTCTGCTCCCTTGAGTACATGTGCCACCCCGCATGGCTTGTTTTTGTTGTTGTTTGCTTATTTGTTTGTTTGTTTTTTTTATATAGGGTCTCAGTATGTGGCCCTAACTATGGGGCCCTGGTTAGTGTGTCCCTCACAATGTAGATCTCAGGCTAGTCCTGAACTCTGAGAGCTCCCTCCACCTACCTCTTTCTACAAAGTGCTGGGATTACAGGTGCTGTGTTAGCACCTGAAACAGTATTTTAATTTGTTTAAGGCACAAGACATTTTATCAATGTAGTAGTGAATGGACTTGTGGAAAATCTACTTCTGTTGTGGGGTGATAGTTGAGGAGGGACTATCCTTTAAATACACAAGCACTTGCTTCCACCTACAGCGTGTTCCTAAAAATTACATTCCTGGTGCTATGTGTAGTGAGTGGTAGGAGCCTTTAGTTTCAGCACTGGTGAGGAAGCAAGTAGATCTCTGTAAGTTCAAGGCCAGCCAGGGCTATATAGAAAGACCCTGTCTTTAACAAATAAGTAAGAAATACATTCCTGGGCCTGTGAGATGCTGTAGCCAAGCTTGATGACCTGAGTTGAATCTGCAATATATGGTGAAACGAGAGAGCTGACTTGCAGGTTGTCCTCTGATCTCTCTCTCTCTCTTTCTCTCTCTCTCTCTCTCTCTCTCTCTCTCTCTGTACATAAGTAAATATAATAAAAATATTTTAAATTACATTTCTGTATTAGGGTTTGTATTTCTGTGATAAAACACCATAACCAAGTCTGGTAGGTGGTGGTGGTGCACACTTTAATCCTAGCACTGAGGCGGCAGAGGAGGGCAGATCCCTGAATTGGAGTCTAGCCTGGTCTACAGAGTGAGTTTAAGGACAGCCAGGGCTACACAGAGAAACCCTGTCACAAAAATATCAAAACCCAAAACAACAAAAGCTACTATGACCAAAAACAACCTGGAAAGAGTTTCTTTCAGCTTTCAGGTCACAGACCAACACTGAGGGAGGTCCAGGACAGCAACACAAGGCAGGAATTGAAGCGTAGGCCATGGAGGAATGCTCCTTACCTGCTTGCTTGCTCAGTTTTCTTTCTCATGCACCACAGGACACCCACCCAAGCATGACACTGGCAACAGCTGAGCCCTTCACATCAGTTATCAATGAGAAATATCCCATGCTTGTTTATAGGTCACTCTTTAATCAGCCGAGATTCCCTATTCCCAGATATGTCCTGGTTTTTGACAAAAACAAACCAGCAGGTTGTTTTTTTTTTGTTTGTTTGTTTTTTTTTTGTTTTTGTTTTTTTCCTTCACAATGCCCATAGTGTTTGGGGATATTTAGAGTTCTGAGGTGAATCTTTTTGACTAGGGAAAATTATTTTGTGGAGTAGCTAGCCTTTTCTCTTATTGTTAACCTCTTTTGTGAGTAGAATGTTAGTAAGTTCCCAGTTTGGAAGATTTTTTTTTAAAGAATACAGTTAATCATTTTTTAATTGAAAATTTGTTATACATTATTTGAACTATCAGTGCCACCATAGAAAGTGTGTGTGTTGTATGTGTTTTAACTAAATAAGATAGGTTGACAATGATTACAGCAAGAATATGTAGTAGAATGAGAAAAGTTACCTGTGTGTGTCTGGTTTGGGTGGTATGGCCCACACACTCTTAAGTATTTCTTTGAACTTTATTATAATATTGGGAAATAAATTTTCTGGTTGATAAGACAACATCTTATTCTGAATACAGCATTGTAAGATAAATGTCAGGCCAAATCTTGTGTTCTCGGTGATTTATTCTTTCCTTCCTCCCTTCCTTCTTTCCTTCCTTTCTTTCTTTTTTTTTTTTTTCTTTCTCTCTTTTAATTATAGTTAAGACTATTTACAAGTTAAGACTATTTACTTGGAAAGTAATCATATGCAGTAACCAGATAATGAATCATCTTGACTTTTAGAACAGTCCTGTCCCAAGGAGAACACTGAAAATGATTCAGCCTTCTGCAGCTGGATCTCTTGTTGGCAGAGAAAATGAGGTATGTGTACAGAGCTTGAATGGGGAGACGGTCAGTCAGCATTAAACATTTCTGAGATTTTCTTAAATACTAATTTAATTGTAGCTAAACTTTAGTCCAATTCTAACCAAAATAGTTGCTGCAAATACAATTCCTAAAACAATATTATACATTCTGGTAGTTTTTAAAAATTACATTTATGGGCTGAAGAGAATCTCTGTGACTAAGAACACATACCACTTTTCCAGAGTACCCATGTCAGACATGTAACAAGAGTTACAAATGCCTGTAACTCTTACTTAAAGAAGGAACAGGACACCCTTTTCTGCTCAAGGACAACACTCAAATCCATAAACCCACACACAGACAGAAAAATGTAATTACAAATAAAATCTAAAAAACAATACAATTATTTATTTTGTGTGTGCACACACCCATGTGGGTATATATGTGTTTGCATGGACTTTGGAGCATGTAAGTGCCATAGTACATAATTGAAGTCATAGGATAGCTTTCAGGAATATGCTTCTGTTACTCTGTAGGAACCAGAGACTGAATGCAGGTTGTCAGCCTTGGCAGCAAGTACCTTTATTTGATGAGCCATCTCACCAGCCCTATTTTGGTAGTTTTGATTTGTATAACTTAAAAAAAAAAATCTTAAACACATAAATAACTGAGCAGTGTAGCTTTCTTTGAATAACTGAGCAGTGTAGCTTTCTTGTTCATCAAATCTAAGGAAGTAAGCTTTTTTATCACAGTCGCCAAAAGGCTTGTCCAAAAGGAAGCATTGGAATGACCAGTTAACATCTAAGACTTCAAACTCTGGTCCAGAAGCCAGTGAAAATAAAGATGTTGGAGATGTCACCCAGGAAGCATTTGATCTTATGATTAAAGGTACGGAAAAAAAGAAAATAGCCTTGTCTTGAAAGTTTAAATTTTGATGGAGGTGTATTATTTGGTGAAGTTACTGTTTGATAATTTAAAATTTTGTATTATAAATAGGCTAATACTCTAAATTTGGACACATGGAACCATTTGCTTGGCAAGACCCCAGTGTGGGTAAAATATTAAAGAACAGGAGGATGACGAAATTGGTGTCTGTGAGAGTAAATTACATTGGGATTTTACAAGACCTGGAAATGGGCTTTTCAGAAAAAAAGTGGTAATAGAGAAAGGATTTGAATATTCCAAGAGAACACAAAGTGATAGAACTCACTGTATAGCCCCGACCTAGCCTTGAAATCAATCAGTCTTGCCTCACTCAAGAGTCTTGGACTACCACACCTGGCTCATAGGGAGACTTTTCCTCTGATTTGGTCAGAGGTCATGAGAAATTAAAGCCTAGAGTGCTCAAAGTCACACTCACAGTAATGTTTGGGTTTGTTGTGAGTTGCCTGGGATGTTGCAAGAAGTTTAGAAGCAGAAAGTCCTTTTACAGGACAAAATTTCAAATGGTTGGTCTACTGCATAGAACTTTGTAGTTCTTATGAAACAGGACTTGTAATGTTTGTACCTGATTAGGTTAAAATCAGTCAAAGGTTAGTTCTATACACATGGCAATCAGTGACCTTAGTCATAGAAAGTGTCTGTATAACTGTGACTTAAGAACTTCAGTGGGATATATCATTAGAATTAGAAGACCCACAGGGAGTGCCTGAATTTTGTTAAATCTGTTGTTGGTAGTGCATTGGTGTACTCTTGGAAAGAAAAATCTTTTATATAGTTTAGGATGGAGCAAATGAGTAATGTGTTGGTGTTGGGAGGCAAGTACTTAATAGGGTGAATGGAAGTACAAATATGGAATGGAGAAGGGAAGAATGGATTGTTGAATTGGTTTACAGTATTAGTTTAAATTGATTATTAGAAACTCCTCCATCAAAAGCAAGAAACACAGCAGATATCCAATTCTTGTTGTGTAAACACTATTTTGTACTGAAGCTCTTGAGGAAATGGCTTACTCCAGCATTCCAGTGTTTAGGAATACTATAAAGTGATCCTTCATCTCATACCAGAAAATAAGCAAAAATGTTGGCCATATTTAAAGAACAGACTCTATGTGACGAGATCCACGCTGATTAAATGTGTGAAAATTTCAGCATCAAAATTAATAGTGGCAAGAATGGCTACTAATAAATCCAGGCAGGGTGGCGCACACCCTAATGCATGCTCTTCAAAGGTAAAGTTTTGAGGATCACTTCATAGTTATTCTCAGCCATTTATCAAGTTAAAGGCCAGCCTGGGGTACATGTCTCAAAAACAATGAAAAGACTAAGAATTATTCTTGGTACAGTGAATAGAAACAAGCATATGAACCTGTAATTATAACTTAAGAGAAAAATGGGAGAGGGAGAATTCCTTTGAAAACCACATTCACTGTACATTATAGAAGATTTAGATAAGAACCACCAGTAGAGTTAAAGTTGATTGGGGAACAGATTAACAAACTCAAGTTTTACTGCCAGATCTCTTATTAATTACCAAAGAAAACAATCTTTACAAGGGAGAAATTTAGTATATAGCAACCAAATCAAATGATCAAATTTTATATTCAATATTACAGATTGGTATGCTCTGCCTGATATTACATTGAAGATACAATGCATTTATGCAATATTCCTGCGAAAAATGTTGAGCTTGAAACAAATCGAAAATTAAGAACTATATGCAAATTAATTAGTCCAGACTTTTCAAATTAACAATATTTTGGCTGAGAGTATATATAGCTCAATGGTTGTAGAGTTCCTGTCTCCCATAAAGGCCAAATAAAAATGCATAAGCACAAAACAAATTTTGTAAAATGTTAAACTGTGTAGGTAATACATATGCACTTATTTTCCTTGTGGTGCAATTCTTTTTAAGGATTGAGAACTGATATGTTGGGAAAAAATAAAAAGCAGATTGGAAAATTTTCAATAGAAATAAAGTACTGAGGTTTTTATAGCAGTAGGTTTTGTGTTTTCAAAATAGGAATTTGCTGTTCAGTCTAGACTGGCCTCCGACAGGGTTTTAGCACTAATTTTTAAAGTTATGTAAAACACTAATTTATTTCAGAAAACCCATCTTCCCAGTATTGGAAAGAAGTGGCAGAAAAACGAAGGAAAGCTCTCTATGAAGCACTTAAAGAAAACGAGAAAGTATGTATTGCATTCTTACCATTTATAGAGTTCTGGTAGTGTTCCTTCTCATTTCAGCATAGTTGAAGTGGTATAGACCAGTTTGAATGTTGGTCTAATGGAAGTTTGACTACATGTCCTGCTGTCTTAGTTACTGCATGATTCAGAGTGGATTTATGGAATACTGAACTTTATTTTTGTTATATAGCTTCATAAAGAAATTGAACAGAAGGACAGTGAAATTGCCCGCCTAAGAAAGGAGAATAAAGAGTTGGCAGAAGTAGCAGAACACGTACAGTACATGGCAGAGGTAATTGAGGTAGGTAATTCCATATTTATTGGGTTCAGAGTCATCAAGGCAGTGTTGTGGTCTGTGAGTGTTCAACATTTTAATGAGATCTCTAGCACCAGGGAGTTTCTTGGATAGAGTAGCTTATTTATCCTATCAGGGATTTATTTTCCTTACCTAAAAAATGGTAGTAATAAGCTCACATCTGAAAAAGAAGAAAAGTTACTCTGTTGCATAATTGACACATTTCTAGGTTCTAGTTTTATAAGCATGTTATCAACTATCATTTATAAAAACAAATAGGTTTTACCTGACTTTTTAAATTTGGGAAGTAGCTAATGTGTTTCCAAGAGTCAGCTTGATTTCTGTTACTTTCTTTACCTGGCTTGGCTTGATAAAAATGCTTTCAGCCTTTTTTATATTTACAAAGCAAATCCATCTTACCAATGGGAGGAAAGCTTTTCAAATCTCACATTAAATTGCTTTCTTAACATTTTAAAACCATGACAATGTTGTTTTATTATTTTTAATTATATGTAAATATGGCCTGGAGCTAGAATTATAAGCACCTGATGTGGGTGCTAGGAATAGAACTCTGGTCCTCTGGAGGAACAGTGTAGACTCTTAACCACCGAGTCATCTCTGCAGCTCTGCTGTGACAATGTTTGAAGTACTTAACTGGTCCTCTCTGTTGGCTTTAGAATATGGTCCCAGCTGGCTGGAAAGTAAAAACACATGGTTCTGTGCTTTCCTAGAGAAGTACCAATTTCAGTTGTGCTTTGGAAGCAGCTCAGTCAGGGCATTTAAAAATAAATAAATAAATAAATAAAAAACAGCAAATTACTAACTGGATTTTGCTGGAATATGATGTAGCACTGTATATACTTTGATAGAACACTGTAAGTGAATTTATTGGGGGTATTGTAACATTGGTGGGTTGCTTGCTGTATCATTATACTGATTAATAGTGATTTCAGTTCAAGATCTTTACAATAAATTGCTGGTTTATTCCTTAAAAGAGGCTGAGTCATGAACCTCTGGATAGCTTTGAATCACCGGATAGTCAGGAATTCGATTCTGAATTGGAAACTGTTGAGGATTCTGAAGTGGAAGACTCAGAAACTGGCACATGTGCTGAAGAGATTGTGTCTTCCTCCACCGATGCCAAACCTTGTACATGAAGTGTGAGTTACACTGCCAGCTTTGCCCTGCGGTATAACTCCTGGTAAATTAACTACAAGATGCAAGTACTGGAATCCAGGTTTGAATCCTGGGGGCTATTACCACATTAAAATACACATAATATGTATTTTTAATCTGTTTTATGTAAATAGCATTTTCATTTTCTCAGATGTGACTTGTGTAAATTAAATAAACTTCAATTTCCTATTGAACATGGTCTATCTTGGAGAATTCAGTATATGCAGTTTGTAGAAAATGTGTCTGTTTCTATAGTATCTTATTTCCCTGTTGTGGAAGTGGGAAATGACTTACTTCTGAATGTGTGTTCATCTAATCCAGGATCTCTGTGAGCACTGTTGATTTCATGTTTGCATATTTAGGAAAGTTTTACTTTCCTAAAACTTCCCCCAGTGAGTTTGATTAGCCAGGTAAAGGCTTATCTAACTGGTATAGTCATATTATTTTTGACTGTTCCAAGCAATTGGTAGAGGGCAAAGTGCAGTGAGAAACACAAGGGTAGCTGAAATTTGGAAACTATATACAAAGTGTGTAAATATCAAAGGACAAGAGGCATTGCTATCTGTGAAGCCCCATGTACCTGAGTTTCATCCCTTGAGAACCCCTCACACACACACTTTTTTTTTTTTTTTTTTTTTTTTTTTGAGACAAGTTTTCTCTCTGTATCTTTGGCTATAGACCAGGCTGGCCTTGGGCTTGGGGATCCACCTACCTCTACCTCTGTCTCTGCCTCCTAGAGCATTGGAGTTCTGGGATTAAAAGATGTTTGTTAACATGCCCAGTTAATGGAACTCATGCTTTTAAGACAAGGTAGATGGTCTGCAGTCCCAGCACACTTCTTTGTGGAGACCGGAAGCAGAGACAGCTCATAACCCATCTACCCTGGTATGCAGAGCAGTGGAAATGACAGCCAGCCAACTCAGGAAGGTCATCTGACTAGTCATGTGCCTTGGCATGATGTGTGCCATACTCGAATAAGTAATAAATATTTTAAAAACAAAATGAAAGCTATCACTAATAACTTTATTCAATAGAACTTGGAGATGATGATGATATACTTGTGTTGTACAATGAAGGAGCCATTAGTTCAGCATTCAAAATGTGATTAGTGTGAAAAGTATTTATGTTTTATAAACTATTCAGGGCTAGTGGCTACTGGGAGATGGTGGTTATGCATGTCATGGAGTTGGGCCACTAGCTTAAAGATTGCATTAGAGAAGTAACAAATTAATTTTTAAAATATTTGTGGTAGGGTAAAGGGGAGAATCTGGTAATATTGTCATAATTAGAAGAGTGGAAAGTGGAGCTGTGTGGCTTAGGTTAGTTATACACAGTAATAGGTTTCAGGGTGATGTTTTTGTACATGTCATACTGTGGTCTTATCCCTTCCCACATTTCCTCCTGTCCCCTTTTTGCTGATCTCCCCCTCACCTGTTCACCCTCTCAAATAGTTCTGCTTTCATGTCACATGTAGTCCATTAATCTCTTTCATCCTCTTCTGTTTATAAAGAGAATTTTTGACATAATATGATAATGACTCTTAGGACAATGCCAGAGCAAGAAAGATTTCTGGGGGGGCAGGGGGAAGAAGCATTGTTTGTAATAGCCAGAACCTGAAAGCTACCTAGATGCCTCTCAACTGAGGAATGGACAAGAAAATGTGGTACATTTACACAATGGAGTACTACTCAGAGGAAAAAAAGACTGGAATCTTGAAATTAACAGGCAAATGGATGGAACTAGAAGAAACCATCCTGAGTGAGGTAACCCAGACAACAGAAAGACACACATAGTATGTATTTATTCATAAGTGGATATTAGAGCAACGGATTACAGCCTATAATCTACAACACCAGAAAAGCTAAGAAACAAGGAGGATCCTAAGAGACATACATGGTCTGAACAATTGTTCAGACAAGATCTAAACAAATTGAGAGCATAGGGGTGGGGGAGCTAGGTAGGATAAAGTGGAAGGGAGAAGGGAAGGGGGCAGGAGAACATGAGGGATCAGGAAGATTGAGTCGGGAAGAATAGAGAAGGAGAGCGAGAAAAGAGATAACCCTAATAAAGAGAGCCATTATGGGCTTAACGAGAAATCTGGCACTAGGGAAATACCCAGAGATCCACAAGGATGATTCCCAACTAAGAATCTAAGCTATAGTGGATGTTAGGAATCAGTAGCCTGCTGACCCCCGCCCCCAACGATGGGAGGACACTCATGGCCATGTCATCGCTGTCGAGCTTTACCTGGCTGCTAGAGGACTCAGTTACACATGTGCAAGCCCCCCTTTTAAAGCAAGTGTGCCTCTCTCTGCCCCCCCCCCTCTTTTCTGCTCTTTTTCTCTCTCCCCCCTGCTTTGGGTTGGCCACCAGCTACCCCCTTCTCTCCCTTCCCTCAATAAACACGTGGGCGCTGAATCTCGTGTTTGTGTTTTATAGGCATTAGCTGTATCAAAAGGACAACAGTGGACAGGCTACCTTAAATGTCCTTATAATGAGATTGATGACTACCTTAAATGCCATCCTAGAGCCTTCACCTAGTAGCTGATGGAAGCAGAAGCAGAGATCCACAGCTAAGCACTGAGTTGAACTGGAATCCAGTTGTAGAGAGGGAGGAGTGATGAGCAAAAGGGTCAAGACCATACTGGGGAAACCCACAGAAACAGCTAACCTGAACAAGTGGGAATTCATGGACCCTAGTCTTGACAGCTGGGGAACCAGCATAGGACCAAACCAGACCCCCTGAACGTGGGTGTCAGTTGGGAGGCCCAGGCAGTCTATGGGGCAGTGGGACCAGTATTTATCCCTAGTGCATGAATTTGGGAAGCCCATTCCCTATGGAGGGTCTCTCAGCCTAGATACACAGGGGAGGTGGGGGGACTAGGCCTAGGCCCAGATGATGTGGCAGACTTTGATGATCCCCCATGGAAGGCCTCACCCTGGGGAGTTGATGGAGTTGTGGGGGGGAATGGGAGGATGGGAGGGAGAGGGAACTGGGCCTGATGTAAAATAAGATTGCTTCTAATTTAAATAAAAATTTATAAAAGAAAGCGAAAAGACCTTAACAATATTTAGGTTTGCAAAGGTTTCTGATACAGGACACAAAGAGCTGGAGTTCTGTGGTCAGTAGGCTTTGTAAAAAGAGTCTTCTGTTTGAAAAAAAAAACAGGGAAAGGATACAGCTTCTCCATTTTCTCCATTTGTATAACTCAAGCCTGTGTTGCCACTCTTGAAGAGGCCTGACTGTTACTTTAGACAAGACATTTTACCAGTGGGCTGACAACCTTACAACCTGCATTCAATCCCTAGAGCCCATGGTGATAGGAGAAAACTGACTCTTAATTGTTCTCTGACCTGCACATGTGGGCCATGGAGTGTGCATGTTTGCACTAAATAGAATTGTTTTTAAGAAGCTATTCTGATAGCCAGGCATGGTGGCACATACCTTTAATCCCAGATAGGCAGTCAGAGGCTGGCAGGAGGATCTGAGTTTGAGGTCAGCCTAGTTAACAAAATGAATTCTAAGACAGCAAGGGCTACATAGAGAAATTCTGTCACAAAACAACAAACATTATTTTGATAATAGAACTTGATATGCTTTCAGAAGTGCATTCTAGTGCCAATGCAGTGCATGACCACCACCCTGCCATAGGGCCTTTAATTCTGTTTCATAAACTGTCCCTTCAAAGATCTCTGGATTTAGCCTTTAGTGCCAGCACTCAGGAGGCAGAGGCAAGAGGATCTTTGAGGTAAGCCTGTTTTACAGAGCAAGTTCTGTGACAGCCAAGGCTACATAGTAAGACCTTGTCTTCAAAAATAAACAGCAAAAGCCCATCAGTAACAACAGCAACAACAAAAAAACCTTAAAGATCTCTCAACTAAGGGTTTTACCTGATAAATCACAGGTCAGGAATTGCAAAGAATTTATAACCATCAGAGCATCCGGGCCCCTGCATAGGATAACTGGTCTTTATGGATTTATACCATCCTTTTCCCCAGCAGGAGGATTAAAACTTCCTGCTGGGCAATGGTGGTTCACACTTTTAATCCTGGTGAGGACTACACAAAGAAACCCTGGCTGGAAAAAAACAAAAGAAAAATTCCATTTTCCCCACAGTAAATTTTTTTATTTCAGTTCAAACTTATTTCCCTTTGATTTAAAAATTCGAGTTGCTATTACATGGCTTGATACTCAAAGAGTAATGTTACTAACATTTCCAGGTAACTTGATAGCAATGCCCACAAATGCCTGGGACACCTACCGTGGTGTTTGCACTTTTGGGGGGCTTGGTTCCTTTGGAATAGGGATTTCCGGGTGATGCAGGGGCAGATTTCCTTATGGAGGCTTGCTTTTTCCTTAATAATGTTATCTCAGCTTCTTTCCCTGTTGCTGTGATAAATTCTCTGGCAAAGGCAATTTATTTATTTTAAAATTTATTTGTACTCTGTGCATTGGTGTTTTGCCTGCATGTATATCTGTGTGAGGGTGTCAGATCTCCTGGAACAGAAGTTACAAACAGTTATGAGCTGCCATGTGGGTGTTGAGAATTGACCCCCCTGGAAGAATGGTCTGTGCTCTTAACCACTGAGCTATCTCTCCAGCTCAGCAAAGGCAATTTATGAAAGGAAGTTTATTCTGGCTGATACTTCAAGGACATGATGGGGAAGTCGGGGTTGTAGGAGCTTGTGGCAGCTGGTCAAGTGTATTCACTGACATCTGAAAACAGAGTGATAGATACCTGTTATTGCTCAGTTCTCGTTGAGGATCCCATCCAAGGAAAGGTCCTATCCCCAGTATACCTGCCTTACTGCCACAACACGATTCAGATAACCCCCCTCAGCCTTGCCCAGAAGCCCATTTCCTAGGTGATTGCTTATCTGCGTATCCACAAGGTAGCATGCTCACCCATTCATGCAGTTTGAATCATCAGAGTTTGGCTTGTTGCACCCAGTATGTCACCCAGTGAACCTCAAACTCCACCTATCATATGTGACCCATGGGAATGGCACAAAGCTGGTAGTAGCAGGGTGAGGTGGGGGGCAGAGTACAGGGGCCTCAGAATAGTATGCTAGCTCTATTAGCGGCAGAGCAAACAGCACATAGCATGTTGCTGATGGGATGTATGCTGGCTGAAGCTAGAGAGAAACCAGGTGAGCTTGACGGCTGTGTAATGGTTTGTGACAGCGGAAACAT